GAGAGAGAGAGAGAGAGAGAGAGAGAGAGAGAGAGAGAGACTGTGTTGTGATCAGAGCCTTTGTATTTCAGGCCTGAGTTCGCCTACATGTGAGCACGAGCAGTTTTACACTAGAACAATCAGGTGCACGAGAGATTAGCAGTGAAACATCACAATCTCTCCTTTGAAGATAAACCTCTTCGTGCACAACAATGGGGACAAGGCTTTGAAATCAGTTGCTTTCAATGCAACTGTGACGGACTCCTCAAATCCTCTGAGACACAACAACATGGAGAGGATTAAGACCTTTTGTTTCTGCTCTCATGTAAAAACGGACCTTCAACCGGTTACATAGCGGCACAGAGAGAAGAAGGAGTCATTATCTGCCTATAGGATGACAGCAGACAAGAAGTACTTGGAGCAACTGTATCTCCTGAGTGTACAAGCTAATGGTGTCTGCAGCTCGGTGTGAAGGGGTTTTGAGAGGCGAACGTCGCTGCTGGCCGTGATAACAACACTTTGCCCCTCGCTGCACCCAGCTCTATAAATGATTATCAGAAGAACACTTGTGTGTCTTGCCACTGTGTGTTTGCATTTGCAGCACACGTGTGTTCAAATTTGTGGCACAGCACAACTGTGTATTTGTCTGTGTGTCATCTGTCCGTCTTATCTTTTATAGCTCAGAGGGCAGCAGCAGCCACTCTGTATACAACACATGTAGGACGGGAAGGGAGGATGCAGCCTGGGGGGATGTGGATGTACAAGCAACGAGAGGCCAGTACCACTGAACATTTATACTCCACATTAATGTCAGGATTGTTCGCTCTTAATGTCTCAAGATGTCCACACTTCCTGTTACATGGTTTTGTAATTGGACTTAATGGAATGAAATAACATCATCTAAATGGGAGCATCAGTGACAAAAATAACCATAGACTAAATGTGACATGTTGGTCGGCAGCTCTGTACGGAAACATCCACCTCTCCTCCTAATTGAAACTTTGTGCATGTGTTCTCTTTTCTTTTTTTTTTTGCTCCAAAAATGGCCAGAGATGAAGCTATTAAAAACTGGCCCAATCTTCAGAAATGAGACCGCTGCTTCTAAAAGACGGATCGGGCAGTAATAGCGTCATTAATGATTCAGAAATCATCAGCAGGCGCAGGGCAGACTTGTCATTGTTGAAAGACGTTGGGGTCTGTGAGGGAAGAGACAGATGTCCAGTTGACGGGGGACACCATCATTTTTTATTCACCGAGACCTGCAAATTGTGATCAGACTTTGAAAAGTTTGCAAGTTTGCAAAGTCATTTTATCTGACTACTTTGAAAAACATGTAGTCTGAACATGGCAGGAAAAATAACTTAAAGTTATGCCTGGTGAATTGATTCTGAAAAAGTTTTTTCTTTATTTGTTGAAATCCTCTTCACGTCCTGATTTCCATAAATAAACAAAGACGTTTTGAAAACAAAAAAAGGGCCAATTGCTCGGCGTACCTGTC